ATGATGATGATGATGATGATGATAATGATGAGTACGATGATGAGGATGATGATGATGGTGATGATGAGTACGATGATGATGATGATGACGATGATGATGATGATGATGATGAGGACGATGATGAGTACGATGGTGATGATGATGGTGCTGATGCTGATGCTGATGCTGATGCTGATGCTGGTGATGTGATGATGATGACCTGGATCACGATGATGCTGACGATGACGATGACGACGATGATGATGACGACGACGCTTATGCTCATGATTATGAGTATGATCATGAGTAGTATGATGATGATGGTGATGATGATGATGGTAAGAAGAGGAAGAAGAGAAATATGCTGAATACGAATAAGAAGAATAATAATAAGAAGGAGAGAAAGGATAAGCAGAAGGATGAGGAGGAGGAGGAGGGGGAGGAGGACGAGGAGGAGGAGGAGGAGGAGGAGGAAGCCAGGAGGAGGAGGAAGAGAAGAAGAAGGAGGAAGAGGAGGAGGAAGAGGAGAGTCGGTCTCGGGACCTTCCCCTCCTCTGGCCTGCGCAGGCGACTAGCCGCCGCTGCACGCGCGCGTCGGCGCACGGCGGCCCAACCGATCTTCGGCCCTGGATCCACGAAGAAGAGGAGGAGGAGAAGAAGAGGAGGATGAGGAGCAGCAGCAGCAGGAGCAGTAGGAGCAGGAGGAGGAGGAGGCGGCGGCGGCAGCGGCGGCGGCCTCGTGAGGCCCTCTGGGACCTCCCAAAGCCTTTTGGGCCTCTCGGGCCTTCCGGGGCCTCTGAGGGGCCTCTTGGCCTTCGGAGGCCGTCCTGGGGGCCTCCCTCGAACATTGACCGCCGCCCCCAGCTGGCTTGCCGCAGGGGTGCACCTGGACCCACAAGGAAGAGGAGGAGGAAGAGGAGGAGGAGGAGGAGGAGGAGGAGGAGGAGGCGAGGAGGAGGAAGAGGAGGAAGAGGATCAGGAGGAGGGAGGAGGAGAAGAGGAGGCAGGAGGAGGAAGGACAGAGGAGAGGAGAGGAGGAGGAAGAGGGGCGAGGAGTAGAGGGAGGATTCAGGAGGAGGATGAGGAGGCGAGGAGAGGAGGATGAGGACGAGAAGGAAGAAGTAAGGTAGGAGGAGGCGAGGAGAGGAGGAGGAGATCAGGAAGAGGAGGAGAGGAGAGAGGAGGAGGCGAGGGGGAGGAGGAGATTCAGAAGAGGGGAGGGAGGAGAGGAAGAGGCGAGGAGGAGGAGAGGAGGAGGATCAGACATGAGGAGAGGAAAGGAGGAAAGGAGGAGGAGTAGGAGGAGGGAGGATGAAGGAGCAGGGCAGAGCAGGAGCAGAGCAGGAGAGAGGAGAGGAGGCGAGGAGGAGGAGGAGAGGAAGAGGAGAGAGGAAGGAGAGGAGAGGAGATCAGGAAGGAGGGAGGATGAGGAGGAGGATGGAGAGAGAGGAGAGAAGAGGTGCAGGAGGAGGAGGAGGCGAGGAGAGGAGGAGGAGATCAGGAGAGTAGGAGGAGGAGGAGGAGAAGAGGAAGGAGAGGAGGAGGAAGAGGAACAGGTAGGAGGAGAGGCAGGAGAGAGGTAGGAGGAGAGGAAGAATCAGGATGCCAGGCGGAGGAGGAGGAGGGAGGAAGGATGAAGGGGAGGAGGACGCGAAGGTCGTATCGGCACCTTCCCCTCCTCTGGCCTGCCCCGCACTCCGCGCGCCCCCATCGCAGGCCGGCGCTGGCTGTTGGCCGCCCCTGCGCGCGCGCGGCGGCGCAAACGGCGCCCACCGATCTTCGGCGCCTGGATCCACGAGGAGAGGAGGAGGAGGAGGAGGAGGAGGAGGATGAGTGAAGGAGGAAGGAGGAGGAGAGGAGGAGGAGGGAGGAGAGGGGGAGGAGGAGGAGAGGGAGGAGGAGGAGGGGGAGGAGGGGGAGGAGGGGAGGGAGGAGGAGGAGGAGGAGGAGGAGGAGGAGGAGGAGGAGGAGGAGGAGGAGGAGGAGGAGGAAGCGAGGAGGAGGGGGAGGAGGAAGGAGGGGCACGGCCGAGGTACGGCTGCGGCCTTCGATCCTCGACCCCTCGAGGTGTGGCTGCGGAGGCAGCGCCGCCCGCCCCGTCCCCGGCGGCTGGCCGCGGGCCCTCCGCGCGCGCGCGGCGCGCCTGACGGCGGCTCGGCGGCGGCCTGCCACCTCTCGGGGGCGCGCAGGGTGAAGGGGCCCTGGGACACACAAATAAATACATGCAAATATAAGTGGATTCCCCTATATGTTCGCATATGGTCTAGGTTTTGCCTTCCCTCCACTTCCCATCTGTTTCCATAGTTTCCTGGGAATCGACGATGAATTGTGTCTGTGTGATTTTCCCCTCCTGACAGGGGGCGGGCGGAGCGGGCGGGCGGAGCCTGTTACGGGCGGGCGGCCAACGGTCTCCCCAGAGGGGAACGATCCCATCGATCCTCGACGCTCGATCCTATCGATGCTCGATCCTATCGGTCCGGGCCGATGCTCGATCCTATCGATCCTCAATGCTCGAACCTCT